TATAGCTTGTATGTGTTTTTATAATTTCGGAATTCTGTTGTCCATGGTAGGAATACCCATCTTCCCTCCTCTGGCACACAGGCTTTGGCAGGAGTTGACCTTACCTTCCAGTTCTGGGGGTAGGCAAGTGACTCAGCCTTAGCCAGTCAGAGCACTGTGTCCCCCTGTCTTCAGCGACTGATTCCGAGCTTAGCAGGGGTCCCAAACCAGGCCAATGAGAACCAGCCAGGATGCTGACTGGCTGCACTGGGGAAGAGAAGCTCTCTTCTTTTCTGTGGGACTCCGACCACAGAGTATGTTGGCCTAGAGACGCTGGCAGATATCTTGCTTTCATGTAGATCCCAAGAATGAAGTCCACACAGGAGAGCAAAGCCAAGCGCTGGAAAGAAGTCAGATATTAATCATGCTGTTCAAGCCTCCGAATCCAGCCCCCTCCAAAGTCCAGTCTACTCCTGGGGTTGGCCCTCACTGCAGCCACTACATCCTCTTTTTGTTTAACCCATCATGGGCTGGATTTTCTGTCGCTTGCAACCAAGAGTCATAACTGATAGAGAAATATGCCAAACTCATCTGTGTTTTCTGCAAACAAACAGCAATCACCTCTAGGTAACTCATGTTAAAAGGAAGAAGAAGAAGGGGAGGAAGAAGAGGAAGAGGAAGAAGAAGGAGAAGAAGAAGAAAGAAATTTAGGGGAGGGGTGTGAAGTGGCTCACAGAACCAAGAGAAAAGCAGAAAAGGCCTTGGAAAAGACAGAAGCCAGAGTGGTCCCCGGGGATTCAGGTAGCAGGAAGGAATGGACAGCATCATCAGAGCATTGCCCTGGGATAAACCGGTGCTAACCATCTACCATACTCAAGATTCAGATTAGCTTGGGAGAGAGAGCAAGAGAGTCCATTTACTGGAGTCTCACGCCCAACCTTGTCCATGGGAAGCAGGAGACCTGGATTTGATAGTCCCACCAAGACTGTACACAATCGGGGCTGGGTAATTCTCCAAAGCAAAATCTGTTTCAAGCACTTTGCATATATTAACTCATTTTAATCCTCAGAAGAGCCTTTTGGAATACATATGGTTACTATTATCCGTATGTTACAGATGAGGAAATTGCTACACAGAGATAAAGTAACTTGCCTGTGGTCACACAGCTGGTAAGTGGTAGAGGTGGGATGCAAACCCAGTCAGCCTGGCTCCAGAGTCTGGGCACTTACCCCACGGCACTATAGGGCTTTTCCAGCAGAAGGGGAATGAAAACAGGGCAGGTGAAAACACAAGGTCCCCTGCAGGTAATGCTCAAGGGAAGACTTATGGGGACTTCCACTCCCTCTGTATCAGTTTTTTAGCCACCATGTATTAACAAGAAAAAATAAAAAGGTAATAGGTTTCTATTTTGGAAATTTTTTAAAAAAAATCCTGCTTAGCCAATAGAAAAAGAAAGGAGCCCAAAGCTGATGATGTCACTCTTTCTCAGACACAAAGAAGACTGTGAAATATCTAGGACCTGGGGGAATTCCAGCTGTCACCAGGCTGCACTAGCCAAGGCTGAGGAAAGCCAGGGAGGCAGGAAGGCATTCTCCATCCTGAAGGCACTGTTAGAGACCAGCATGGGGAGGAATGCCACGCTTTGGTGAAGCAAACTGAGGCAGCCACTGCCTGCAGCCCTCTGCCCTCACTGGACCCTGCTGGGCTCCATTCCCTCCCTGCCTCCTTTTGGGGCATTCTGCACAACCACACTGTTCCTTCTTCCCTGCAGCCAGCTCTTCCCTCCTTTTTCTGCAGGGCCCACTCCTTCAAAAATGTGGAACAGGTGTTGCCAAGCTCCAAGCCTGAGAATAGCAAGGCCATGACAAAGCTCCAGAACTTAAACCTCATTCCTCTGGCTCAGCCTTTGACAGCAGAACAGTGGAAACCCCAACTCTGTTCCAAACACAACCCCTTCCCAGGAACACAGGTCAGTCAAGGGTTAAAAGTGTGGGCTCTGGTGTCAGACCTAGGTTGGAATCCCAACTCTGTCACTAATGGGCTGTGTTACAATGGGCAAGTTGCCTAACCTCTCTGAGCCTCCATCCACTGCCAGGAAATCAGTAAAGATACCAGGGCTGAAATTCAGTCCCTGTGCATTGGTACAGCTGAACTGGTTGTTAAAACATCAAAATTCTTCCAAATTGATTGGTAAATAGACAGCAGTAGCCCTTGGGCCCCCATCTCCCTACCTTTTCCTCTTAATCCAATAACTAAAGTGTCAACTCTCAGCAGAACAGAGACAGGACTACTAAGTCCTTGATCTAGCAGTAAGGCAGCATCCATTCTGATTGGTAATTCGTGCCTGAACAGTTTGTTAGCTATTTTTAATATCACCCTGGCAGTGGCCATTTCTGGGATTAAATGATGAGATGCAGATAAAGGACTTGGCAGAGAGTCTGGTACATAGTGAAGCAACTCAGTCAACATCAGCTGTCATTGCTTTACACACCAAACCTAAAGAGCAGAGGCGGGATCAAGATCAGGGTCTCAAGTACCACGAGCAGGTGAAGAAGCATTATGACTGGCAGTTCAGGAACAGTCACAGGCCCCCAGGTGATGCACGGGCAAGGCTGCATGGGTGGTTCTGTCCGGTTGAAAGAGGCAGAGCAGGACCAATACGTCCTGCTTCACCAGCTGCCCCCCATCTTCTTTTCCCTGCTCACCTGGGACTCCTGGCTCCCATGCTTGATTGCAGGGCCAGGGATGGAGAAGTCAGGAGAAGCCACACACCAGCCCCCCTGCATTTCAGGAGAGCTTCCCTGGTGTTCACACTACCAGCTCTACTGCTCCTGTTGGAATCCCATGTCTTGTTCGCCTAGACACAGAGAAGATGTTTCCAGGAGGCTAGGCTTTGCCTTTCTAATGCCTTGGGGAATCTGAAAAGAATATTCCAATCCAAGGTCCCTCCCTAAGGACTTGAAGGATCTTAAAGAGAGGCAGTAGTGTGTCCTGGCTATGAGTGTGGGGTCTGGAGCTTGGGTTCAAATCCCAGCTATGCAGCTTTCCTAGCCATGTGAACTTGGGCTAGTCATTTGACTGTTCTCGGCCTCCGTTTCCTCATCTGCCAAATGAGAGGAATAATAGTACCCGCCTCATAGAGTTCTTATCAGGAATAAATTAGGTGATACATAGAAAGTGTTAGAATAGTGTCTGGCACAAGGTAAGCTCTCAACATATGTTAGCTATTGTGGAGGAGCTCACAGGTGTAGTGGGCAGTCAGGTTCATGCCCACATAATTCTGTCCAGGGTGGCAGTCTTTCTTCACTCTGCGAGTTGAAATTCCTCCCCTGTTCCCCTGGGCCTCCTGTACCAGCTGCCACATTTTACAGACTGAGAGGGCCAGAGAGAGAAGGGTCTTGCCCGTGGTCATATATGATGTCATTGGCAAAAATGGGACTTCCTTTTAGAGTTTCAGATACCACTTCCCGCATGTCATGCTGCCTCTCTCCACTTCCTCATGCCTTGGACAATGGTTGTCTGTGAGTGGGTCCCCCAGGGCCCAGAGCAGGGAAGGTGCTGGGAAGTGAGGGCTTTCAAACACCTGTTCCTCGTGAGTCACCAACCAAAGAGGCCAGGGATATGCCTGCCAACTGGAGCCCCAGGCACTGCTCTCATCCTGCTAGGGCCCCAGAGACAAGACATCGCCTGCAACCAGGAGAATGAGAAAGCAAAACAGCCTCAAAGGGGAAAGGGACCGTTCCTAAAGAAAAAGAGAGGCCTCCACTTCTTCCTCCTCAGTGAGCCGGGCCGGGGAGTTTCTGGGACCGGCGAGAGAAGCCTCGCCTCTACCCTTGGGAGACCGGTCTTCATCCCCTGTCGCCCCGCCCAGCTCCACCGTTCCTCCCTCAGCAGAAGCCCCGCCTCTTTCCCCTGCCGCTCTTCAGCATCCCCGCTCCCATTCGACCAATCCCCAGACGCCCCGCCCCACTTTTGACAGATGCCTCGAAGTCCCTCCCCCGCACGTGGCCCAGCTGGAGGCTATCTGCTCCCCTTTCGCCCCCAGTTTGGAGTAAAAGTGTTCCTTCCCATCGCCTTGGGTCGGGAGCTCTCAGCCGTCAGCCCAGCCGGAGCGGCAGGGCCGGGCTTTGGGGAGAACCCCAAGTGCGGGGAGGAGGTGTTCCCGGGGCTCTGAAACCTTCCAGACCCGCTCTGTGTAAACCGCCTTCGGTTTGTGTCAACATCCGAGGCAGGAGACTGGCGGCGGCTGGGGACCGGCTCCGTCTACGGGACGAGAAGACGAGAGGGTGGGGAATGGAGGGGTCCGTGGGGTTGGCGGAGGGAGCCTTCTGGCGCGATCCCGAGACGTCTCTTAGGGGTCTATGAGAAATAAGGAAGATCTGCCTGGGGAGGGATGGGAATTAGGGGCTGTAGGGGGCCCACGGCTAGCGTGGGGCTAATTAGAGGTTGGGCACTTCGCCATCCGCGCTGCGCTCTCCGCGCCCACACGCCCTGCTCTCTGTTCCAACAGCAGGAGGGTGTGTTGGGGGACGTGGGGGTGATGCGAACGCGTGGGTTGCTGACCACTCCATCTCTTCCCTCCCCCACTCGGATTCTCGGCAGCTCTTCGTCGCCCTCCTCCAATTTCGGGTGGGCTATGGAGGGGGTCGCATCTTGTGACTCATCCCCTCTTCCATCCCCACCCCCGCTGGGGCCCAGGAAGAGAAGGCTTAGAGACTCGGCTGTGGCTCTCTTGTTTCCATAGCAACCGTGCAGTTGTTTTTGAGAATCCACTGCAATCGCCGACACTCTTCACCCCAGACTGTGGCCGGGGGTCTGCGCATCAGGGCGGGGTACACATGGGGCTAGAGCCATCCCCCTTCCTGGCGACTCCGGGAAGGTCAGCGCGGACGGGCGGGGCGCGCTCCCGCAGCCGGGCCTCGCTGGCCGCCCGGTTCCCACCTGGAACCGCGCCTGCCACTCCGCGCCAGCGGAGCCAATCAACGCCCAATCTGCTCGGGATGAGGCAGGGCTTATGCAAATCGCGTCGCCTCGGAGAGACACAGTGATACAACAGCTGGGAGGCGGCTCCGGCGCAGACCTTGGAAAGCCTGGCCGCCAGCTCGCCAGCCAGTCGCGGTCCCCGCGGTCCGCCGAGGCTCAGAGTCATCCAGCGACCCGGGGAGCGGCCTCAGGTAACGTGGGTGGGGCCGGGCGGAGGCCCTCTTCCCTTCCCCCTCCACTCTCCATTCCCAGCCTCGTCTCCTGACCACTCTGATTCATCTCCCTGACCCCTGGTTCCGACATAGGCGGCAGCATCTGGAGGGCCCACCCTTGGCCAGGGGACCCCCACCCCATTCCAGGCCCCACGGGTGCTAGGGAAGGAGGCAGAGCTGCCTCCTTAACCCCAGCTCAAGTAAGAACAACCACCCCTCTGACCCCCAACACAGACACACACACACACACACACACACAGCACGCACGCACACACACACACCCCTGGAGGTGTGGTGTTGCTGGTGCTAACAGAAGCACCAATCACCCTCCCTCCTTTGGAAATGAGTAGTCCACCCTGCCGCATGGCAACCTCCCACCTCCATAGATAGCCCCTCCCACGCCACCCAGCCCCACCAGCAGCTCACTGCACTTCACATCCAGGTCCCTGCTCCCAGAAACAGCCTCCACCGCCACAGAGAGCCCACTTTTACCTCAGACTGTCCCCTCAGACTGTCCCCATCTCCCACTCCTCAAGCTGACAGCACTCATGGCATAGCTGGGGGAGGGAAGAAGCTCCCCCCCACCTCCCAACAGCCCCTGTCACCATCTCAGTGCTGGGCAAAGACCCCGTGTGTGGCCTCTTTCATCCTGGCTGGATGAACTAGGGAGATCCCCCACCCCCAGCAGGCCACCTATATCTGTCAGTCGCTGCTGCCAAGGTCTCAGCCTCCTCCAGTCCCCTCACCCGCCACAGCCAAAGTGCCAAAGTCCTCTCATTCTACCTATCAAATATCTTTCTAATTCATACCCTCTCTGACCTTCCTGTGCCCAGGTGCTCCCTCCCTCCTGTCTTCCCACTGCTCCACAGGGACTGTGCCAAAGCTCCATGTGGACTATGTCACTCCTTTCCTTAAGGCGGCCTGAACCTGGAGGGCTAAAGAGCTGTGTTCAAATCTTGCCTCTGCCTCAGTTGCTGTTGACTTTGGCCAAGTCACTTCCCTCTTTGATCCTTCATGAAACGGGGAAGGGGGCAGGACAGAGGGTAGACTGGATGAGATGATCTTGAACAGCCTTCCAACACTGACACGCTGTGGCTCTATGGCTGATTATAAGAAAACAGGACCCCCTGCCTCTTTCTCTGAGCCAGTAGGATGTTTCAGAGAGGAGGGCTGGGGCCTCACCAAAGGGATATTGGTTCTTACCCAGGCCCAGATACAGGCCACTCCCCTCCCACATGCTCTCCAGGCCCAGGTTCCTCTCAGCTGTCAGCAGTCCCTCCTAGACCACCAACTCACATGGCGTGGAAAGCTCCAAGGTGGAGGTGGTCAACAGGGCCCACCCTTTGTTTATCATCCCCTGCCTCTCATTAAGAAAGAGAGGAAGAAGACCTGACTGCTGCCGCTAGGGCCACTGCTTGGAGAAGAGCAAAGGGAGGAGAGGAAAGAGAGGAAAATCTCCTGACCAGGGAGCTGTTGTCACCATGGCAACTGTCTCAGCACCAGCTCCTCTGGAAGCTGGGTGAGGGTGTGGGATTATTCCCTCCCTTGGTCCCTCCATCCTCACTGCCACCTCCCCATTTGAAGCCCACAACCCTGAGCCCTGCCCTCTGGAAGAAGACTCTGAGTACAGAGGGGCAGCGGCCTTGTGTGTGGGGCAGTGCCAGCTCCTTCACAGCTGGAAGGCAGCCCTCGGGAGGTAAGCAGAGGAGCCTGCCTATGTTCGCCAGTGCCACGGCTCCCACAGAACATGTCCCCAGTGGGTTCTGGCCTTTGCCTTGAGGCTGCTGGGCTCTAGTTGATCTTGGGTGTCTGAAGTGGGTGCAATAGCAGAACACATAAACAAAACAGCCTGACGCTATTCCAAGGAGGAAGAAGGGGGCTCCACCCCTCTCGTGTAATCCACCAAGAGACATTCATTGAACATCACTGTGTTCCAGGCGAGGCCTTTAGGTCTCTGCAGGGCAGTTCTGTGCAGCCACAAAGGGCAGAGTGGGAACCCGTGTAGGGGAGCTACAAGAGGGCAAACTTAGGATCAATGGGAAAAGTGCATTTCTCCCTGTCTGAGCTGCTCCAAAGCAGACTGGGTCCTATTGGGAGGGGATAAGCTCCTTGCCATTGAACAAAAAGGCCTGGAGAACTTTTTCTGGCTCAGGCAAGGGTTTAATGCAAAGGTCTCTCCCACTCAGGCTCCATTCTGGAATTCTAGAACACCAAGTGAGAGTCAGAGAGCTCTGGAGTCTACATACTTGTGGGGCTCAACTCCACGGCATCACAGGGTCTACTCATGCACCAAATGCTGAGCCCATGCTGCTGCCCATCCACTTTGCAGGCTGGGAGAGGCTGATCATAAGGAAGTGGCTTCAGCCAGGCCCGAAGGCTGACTATAGCTGTGTCAGCCTGGGAGAGAAGAAAGGATACTAGGGGTGGGGAACACAGTTAAGCAAATAGGTGAGGTAGGTCCCGGCTGTGAGAAGCCCAGCTTGAAAGGAGAGTGTAGTTGTGAGGGGAGCAGTGGGAGGTGACACCTTGACACCAGATTCTAGAGGATTCTGGAGTTTGAGGGGGCCCATGGACATGGCCACCTCTAACCTATATGGAACTTCTGGGCAAAACCAGGAAAGACATTCCCTGGGAACTGAGGAATCAGAAGAAAGGCCTTCCCCGTGAGGCAGTTGAGCCCCATGGGCATGGCTTGGCAAGTAGTGTCCCAGTTGGATTTCAGCCCCCTCACCATGCCCCTGGCCCTAACTACGGGGAGAGAGGACATATTGAAGGTTCCACGAGCACTTCAAAAGAAGGAATAATGAGACTCGGTGGCAAGTTGGACCCAGGGAAAAGAGAGAGGGGAAAACTGAAGGTAACCAAGACCACATTTCCCCCGGGACAAGGGAGGGAAGGAAGGGGCGATGGAGAGAGAAGGACCGCCATAGGTTGAGGGAGAGTCTGGTGGTAGATGTGCTGCGCCAGAGGTGCTGGTGGGCCACTTGGAAGGGTGGCTGTTTCCTGGATATCAGACACCATGGCCTGGAGCTCAGGCAAGACAGTCCCACGGAGGCCAAGAGGGAGATCAGACCTGTGGTTTTCCCAGAAGGCAGGTAAGAGTGTTGAAGGTCTGTACTAGAGGAGGGTAGCCATGGTTTGGAGAGAGTGGTCCAGGCAGGTGGCATGGATTCAGCCCGGTGCTCTTCGAGACCTTCCACTGACCTGCTGTGTAGCTCTGAGCCAGTTTCTTCTCTCTTTGGGTTCCAGTTTTCACTAAAATAAGGAGATGATCTTAAAGGGCACTGCCAGCTCTGCCTTTCCAATCTAAGGGCAGTAGAGGGAATGAGGAGAAACAAAGGAGGAGGCCTGGGACCAAATGGGGGCTGGGAACGTGTATGGCCCTGGGAGAGAGAGAACTGTGGGAAGGCAACACAGGCAAGGAGGAGAAAAGGGGCAGAAGGTGAGAGCCACACAGACACCAAGACACGCACGCACCGACTGTGTGTGCTGCCAGATGAGGCAGTCACATACATTGACACACGCTCCCACACACCCAGCTCCTTACGCAGACACTCAGGAACATCCCACAGGAGAGAGCGGAAGAGACTTTGCCTCCCCTGTCAGACACCTCCACCTCTGGGTTCTCTAGCTTCCTTGACTATACCCTGAGTCTTCAGTGTCCTTTGGACTTGGAGAGGGGCAGCTGGGGTTAGAGCCTGCCTCCTTCTGTCCATGGGTGTTCCAGAGGCATCCTTGACTCTGACCTGGATCCCACAGTTCCAGGTTCCTGAAGATGGCATGCCTCCCCCTCCAGGGCTTCTCTTGGGGGCAGATAGGATTCCTCATCCTCTGGGGGTGGTAAGTGGGAGAGGATGTTGCCACCCCCACTGCTCCTTGATCCTCCTCAGGGAAGAAGTAGAGGAATCTCAGGCCCAGGGATATCCTGTAACTAGCTTGAGGTCACACAGCAAGGGAGGGGGCATGGGACAGACGAATCTCAGATCTGGTTGTCCAGGGCACTCCCAGAAGTAAGGATTGAAAGCCACAGTGGCCTGGGGTGGGCTGTGGAAGTGGAATTCTTTCCGCCAGCCTGAGGACTTCCTTTTCCAGAGTATCTTCATGACAGGCTATCCTGGGGTTGGAGTCTGCCCCCTTCCAAAGAGACTCTAGGCAGGTCAGAGTCACCTCCCAGGACATATCCTGCGAAACGCAGGCTCTGGAGGGACATTCCTCCCATGGAGGCCAGACAGGATTGTCCACCCAGCCTTCAGGGCCTGGTGGGGCCTCGTCCCAGCCAGGCTTCCTCGGGAGGACTTGTGCCTCCCTCTTCACATACTTCCCCTGGCACAGGCCACTCAAGCGGCTCATGTTCCAGCTGGGGACTGACACTTCATCCTCCCCAAACCTGCTTCTCAGCAATACTATCATCCGTTCAGCCCCAAATCTTAGCGCCTGCCTCAACTCTTCTGTCCTCTCGTCTCCACATCTAATCAGTCGGCAAGGGCTGCCAATACCCCCTCCTAACATGTCTCGGTCCATCCCCATCTCTCCACAGCCCCTATGCTAGTGTCATCATCTCTCACCTTAGCTATGCAGCAGGCCCCTCTCTGCTCTCTCTACCTGCCCCCAGGTCATCTTGTACACAGTAGCCAAAGGAAAAATTCTAAAACACGTTCCTTCTCTCTAGGTGCCCGGCACCTAGTTCGGGACCTAACATATTGTCAGCATTCTGTAAGTGTTTGTGGAATGAATGCTATCTTCCTACCCCTCGCTTTAAAACCTTAGGGGCTTCTGTCCCCTACGGGTAAAGGCCAAATTCCTCGGCATGGATTGGAGACCCCTTACAATCAGCCATCTACCTCTGTGACCCAATTATGAGTTATTGAAGGTTGGCTCGTGTCTACTTTATCCCCATCACTGGTACACACACACTGGCCTAGCACACAGCCAGCCTCAAGAGATGCTCAGGGAATGAACTACTGAAAAGTAGAATGCAATCGGTCATCAATGCTATCAGCTAGGATTTCCATCTGTACAGAGGAAAGAAGGAGAGGAGCTTCCTGCTGGCGTGGCCTGAAAGGCCTTGAGGAAGATTGGGGGATGGTGCCAGGGGGACACACGAGGACCTGCCTCGGATTCCTGGTGGGAGAGGAGCCTGCAGAAGGGGGTGGGGGCTGAGTGTGGAAGCTCTGAATAGCAAGGAAAGGATTAGGACTCTATTCTCTGAGCATGGGGAGCTATGGAAGGTGTCAGCAGGAGAGGAGAGGATGAAGATTGCGGCACGCAGCCCCAGCCAGTGAGGAGAAGGAGAGCTGAGACCTGGAAGGCTCGAGATCCTAGGTGCCAGGAGAGGAACCCTGCTGTGAGGGGAGCGGAGGGGCCTGCTGTGGGTGCAGGATGCTGGAGAGAAAGGCACCCTGCTGCGGAGAGAGCGAGCCCTTTATGGGGGAGTGTAATGAGGGGAACTCCCCCCTTGCGTTTAGGGGAGAGGGGCAGGGAGGGGCGCTAGGAGCTCTTATGGGAAGGGGTGTGGTGAAGGATAGAGCCCAGCTGTAGGAAGGTACGGCTCGTTGGGGGTAGTGGTGAGAGGAAGGGGACCCACCCCGCTGTGGAAGGAGGGATCCTGGCTGTGGCAACGTGGGGTTTGTTGTGGGAGGGGGCTGTTGTGGAGAAGGGGAACCCTGTGCCCGGGGACTTGGGAGACTGCTGCGGAGGTGAGGGTCTTGCCCTGGACCAAGTTGAGGGAACCCCCTGTCCCCCAGGCCCCGCCATGGGGAAGACCAACAGCAAGCTGGCCCCAGAGGTGCTGGAGGACCTGGTTCAGAACACCGAGTTCAGCGAGCAGGAGCTGAAGCAGTGGTACAAGGGCTTCCTAAAGGACTGCCCCAGCGGCATCCTCAACCTGGAGGAGTTCCAGCAGCTCTACATCAAGGTGGGCGGGCCGGACGGGAAGGGCGGGGCCAGGCAACCCCAGGGGTCGGGCCGGACAGGCGGGGCGGGGCCCGGCAACCCCAGGGGGCCGGCCGGACGGGCGGGGCGGGGCCAGGCCACCCCAAGGGGCGGGCCGGGAGGATGCCGCTACCTCTGCGTCCCAATCCCCGGGTCTCTGCCTCAGTTCTTCCCGTACGGCGATGCCTCCAAGTTTGCGCAGCACGCTTTCCGCACCTTCGACAAGAACGGCGACGGCACCATCGACTTCCGGGAGTTCATCTGCGCCCTTTCGGTCACCTCCCGCGGCAGCTTCGAGCAGAAACTCAACTGGGCGTTTGAGATGTACGACCTGGACGGCGACGGGCGCATCACGCGCCTCGAGATGCTGGAGATCATCGAGGTGCGCTGGGGCGGATCCGAGAGGCCGGGGCGGGCTGGAGCAGGCGCCCTTGTCTTTGCTGCCCTGCCCTTTTCTGGCGTCGCCCTCTCCACCCACCCTCCTTTCCAGCACCATCCTCAGGAGCCTCCTCGCTGCGCCCCACCTCTCCCCGCATCCCGCCTCCCAGGATCCAGTGGCCACCTAACATTGATTGGGCGCTCGGTGTAGAACAGGCCTTGTGCTAAATGCTTTACCCAATAGCTCTAAGGGGTAGTACCATCAGAAACCCCATTTTACAGAGCTGGAAACAGTGCAAGCGGTGGTCCATGATTCAAATCCAGGGAGTCTGACTCCAGAGCCTAAGTTCCTAACTCATTAATTCTTCCAACAAATATGTATTGAGTGCCTGCCACATGCCAGGCACTGTTTAAAGTTCCTGCTTTCATAGGATATGGCTGCTAGTGAGAAAATTTTAAAACAGCAACAACACCAAAAACTATGCTGCGTCAGGCAGTAAGTGTTATGAAGAAGGTAAGCAAAGCAAAGTAAGAGGAGAGAGTGATGGAGGAAAGGCAATTTTATATGGGGTGAAATGTGAGCCGCAACCTGAGTCAGGTGAGAGAGCTAACTACTTTGATATCTGGGGGAAGAGTGTTCTGTGCATAGGGAGCAATAAATGCAAAGACCCTGAGGTTACGTTGTGTTTGCAGTATTCAAGGAGTAGCCGGGAGGCCAGGGTGGAAGTAGAGGAGTGAGCAAGAAGAGAGTGTTAGGAAGGCGGTCAGCTAGGTAGCTAGGAGCACAGTCACTTAGCATCTCATATTCTGGAGTAGAGACTCTGACCTTATTTTGAGTGAGCTGGGAAGCCATGAAGGCTCCCTCTATGCTCTGTGTGGAGAATATACCCAGGGGCTAGGAGGGCAGCAGAAGCAGGGAGACGGGTTAGGTCCACAGCAGTCCGGTCAGGAGCTACGGAGGCGACAACCGTGGAGGAGCAGGAGAAGGGGTAGGAAGTGGTTGGATATGGGACCTATTGCAGAATTAGGGCTGCTGAGATTTGCTGAAGGATTGGATGTGGGTGTGAGAGAAGGAGAGTCAGGAACAGCATCAAAGTTTTTGGTCTGAACAACCAGAAGAATGAATTTGCTATTTACTGAGACGGGGAATGCTGGGGGAGAAACAGGTTTGAAGTGAAGAGTTGGGTTTTAGATATGTTTAGTGTGAGATGCTCATTAAATATCCAGTCTTAATGACCATATAGCACTTTCCGGTATCCTCACCATCTCCCAGTGTTCTCCCTGTCCACCCCCGAGACCCCTTCGTTCACCCCTGATCCTCCCCCACCAGGCTATATACAAGATGGTGGGCACTGTGATCATGATGCGCATGAACCAGGATGGGCTCACGCCCCAGCAGCGTGTGGACAAGATCTTCAAGAAGATGGACCAGGATAAAGATGACCAGATTACGCTCGAGGAGTTCAAGGAGGCAGCCAAGAGTGACCCGTCCATCGTGCTGCTGCTGCAGTGTGACATGCAGAAGTAGAGGCTGGTGAAGGGCAGGGCCCCTGGCCAGGAGGGGTGTGGCCACCTCCCAACCCAATGACCTCTGTGGCTGGCCCTTCCCCAGGGGGAGGGGTACTCCAGCTCGCTCTCTGGCTCACCCACCCTCCTGCCCAAGCCCTTGCTCCCCTCGGTCAAGATCCTTGAGGGACCACCTCACCCTGGAAAAAAAGACAGCTCCTCAGGTATCCTGTCATCTAGCCCCATCCCCAGTCTTGGCCCAGAACCAACACCTACTGGGCATAGGGGCGTTAACTTTTGCCCCAGGAGGCAGGGTTTAGGAGGGGGGCTGAGGTTCTGCTTTGAAATTCTATCCTTCTCGGGATTTTGCTTTCTAAGACTGGTCCTACAGACCTCAGTTAAAGGGCCAAATTGGGTCTGTCCTTTGCTGAGGACCCAGATCCCTTAAAGGTGGTCTCTGCCCTGCTCCCTCGACTCTACCTGGCCCCTCTGGCCCCAGCCTTTGGAGCATTTCTTCAGTCCTTTCTTCAGCTAATGTTTATGGAGCACCTGTCCAATGCCAGGCAGCTCTAGGCGATAAGGATATGGTGGTTTACAAGACACATATCATGCCCTCTGGAAGCTCATAGGGCAGTGAGGCAAACTTCCAGTGGTCAGAGCCTCAGCCAGGGATATCGAGCACAGCTGAGCAGAAAGTGTGGCCGGGCTGGTTAAGAGGAACTATTAAATCCTTCAGCTCAGTGTCACACAGAGCAGCTACAGAGGATGAAATGAACAGTGTTTGGAAGTCTAGGAAGCATGTGAGTGGAAGTTTTACAAAAAATTGAAATTTATGTAATGCTTATTTTTTTAGTACCCTTTAAAAGAGCTAAAGTTGTTTTATTAGTTTAGGATATTAAAACATACTTTATATTACTTGGTTTCTTGTAAAATGATTAAATGAATATAGAAAATGCTGATATTCAGGGAAAAAGAAGAGCTGAGAAAAAAGAGAGAAAAATACCATGAAATTTACCAAATAAGACTTTTTCTTATCAAGCGAAGCCCTGAGCTGTCACCATCAGCAGTTTCTGCTGCTTCCTTTTTAATGATCTTTTTCAATTCAGTGAGCAACTCTCTATCGTGCACATCTCTGGTTAGGTGCTGACTTCAGAAACAGAAAAAACAGGCTTTGCCGAGAATGAGACAGGTGTATTTCCCACATCTTAGTAGATCTTTTCTGGATTTGGTCTAGTTTCAAGGAGGGGCTTGTCCTTTCACTGCTACGGAAGAGAAGGAGCTGGAAGAATAGGACCACCTGGCCTCTGTTTAGGCTACCAGGCTGCATTTATGAACCAAATGCCTAAAAATGTGCAGGGCATGCTGCATTTGAAAGGCTTTTCCTAACACCCAATCCTAAATCTGCCGAGTAATTCATCATCTTCCTAGTGCGCTGGCTTTGCTTTCCAATGTCTTCTTCCTGATTTTAGATCCATGAGCTATACAGCTGCATGCTTTGACTGCCAGAAAATGAATCTTGCTTCTTCATCAAGTCTTTCGCTTTACTTTCTCCTGTACTCGTGATCAGAAATTAGCTTTGATGTGCAGTGAGTTGATTTCCTCTTGAACCGCTGGTGAGAACAGTCAGTACACAGGTGCTGTCAGCCCAGGATGGGAGCAGGGGATGACTGCTGAGTCCTGGGGGTGGGGGATGGATCTGTAGGAAAGAGATGCGGCATGCCTCTGACTTCTGAGTGCTCACCTGCCCTCCCTCTCTGCAGGTGGAAACTCTTGGGGATGCTGACCTTTGGTCTCAACTCTATTGAACCTTGCTTCTTGCTGCCCTTGGAGATAGCAAGGCCACTGGGTTGCCACCCTCTTTCTGTCCTTCTCCCTATGACCTGCCACATGGTAAGGCTGGGGAATTCACATCCTCAGGCAGGAACCAGCAGTTTTTTATCCAGTAATGCCTCAAGGGATGTTCTCTTGCTCTCAGGAGCTGGCCATGGGGTGTGTCTTGAGCTGTCAGTCAGCATCAGAGATACATAAATACTCAACAGCTTGGCTCAGCCGAGACTTCCAGTGGAAGGCTTTTTACAAAGTGGGGTTCCGTCTCCCAAATGGTGAATCTAACCTAATTCCCAATTGCACAGAACTCCATGACTTTCAAAGGCTTGCCATCTACCCCGTCTCATTCTATCCTCAGAGCCTAGGGAAATAGGGATTTTCATTCCCTTTCTGCAGACATGGAAACTGAGGCACAGAGACGAGGAGTCCCTTGTACAAAAGCAGATAATCAGGAAGTGGCATAGTGTCAAGACTTGAACCCAAGGCTCTCAGAGGGTTTCTTCCCTCCAGAGTCTCTTTCCTGCTCATCTCTCTGACTCTGAGTTGTACCAAGGTTGACTGTGGAGCAGGCCAAGTCTTTTTACAAGCGTCCTGCTAAGAAGTTTCCGAGGTTGTGGTCTTCTAAAAAGAAATAGGAGCTTGAGTGAAGTCTCCACATTTTCAAGCATTTGATTTTCTGCTTCTGGGCAGCTCTGCTAATGGGTTAATGCTGTCCTGGGAGGCCTCTGACTTAGAACCTTGGAAGCATCTTATGCTGTCTTTACTGCTGTCTTCCTTCCTAAGAGAACCGTTTTTGTTTTTTCCCTTCTGGTGGGCAAGTCCTACCCATGAGGGTTGTGTTTGATCACTCCAAGCTTCTGGACATACCCCAGCAAGGATTCTCAAACAGCCCAGCAGTGTGAACACATAATGCCACGCCAAGAACTGGGACCACTATCTTGCCGATGGGAGAAGCCACAGGCAGGCCGGGTCTTGCTCCCACATTCTTCTGGGTGTCCCAGAGACTGCGTGCTTGGGAGCTCCTGTGGTGGAGCACCAGCCCTGCTGTGAGAAGAGAGGCAGGCCTCCCATTCCTGCCCCAGCTGAAGGGACCTGCCACAAAGCACAAGGCTGGCAGAGATTAAAGTATGACTTGCATAGATACAAAAATATACAGACTGCTAAAACACTGATACATCCAAACTCTCCTTTGAAGATCTCTATCTTCTTGCAGCAGATCAATGAATTGCCAGGTCCCAGAATCTGCCTTCTTATTCTGTCCTCATTCATCCTTTTGGGCTAATTGATGAGCCTCTTATTTCTTATCTCCCAAAATCATCAGCAAGGGCTACTTCAGATGGCCACTTCAGTCCTTTGAGCTGTGGTCGGGATTATATAACTTACCTCTAAATCAAAAGTTAAGAAAAAGGAAGCCCGTAAACAAAGATACCAAATATTTTCCTGACAATGGCAGAGTCCCGAGAAGTAGAAATTCATCCTGCTGCAGAGAGAGAGAGAAGGTTGGGGGGGGGGGGCAGAGAAAGAAAGGAAAGAGAGAATAAGAGGATAAATTAGGGTTTCTAGGCAGGATCATAAACCGACACAGTAAATGTTTTTACACAAAAATTTATTAAAGCAACAAATATTCCCTGAAGGTCCCCCCGGGTGAGGCTTTGTGCTGACTTTAGAGATCACTGTGGAAGCAAGAATACATTTCTTACATGTTTTATTCATCGTTTTTGGGGGAAAAAAAATATTCAAATCCCGCAGTTGAAAAGCTTCCGAGTGTGGGGGCAGGACAGGGCCTCCTAGGGTGGGCCTTTCCTTCTTGGTGGAGGCTGCAGGAGTGTGGGGGCCTGGGGAGGTGGGCGGCCGGGTGGCAGAGGGAGCCTCCCAGCTCCTTCTCCAGTGTAACCCCCACGCCCTTCAGATGCGCTGCCCCTGGCTCTGCCTGCAGGGACTGTCCTCACTGTTCGACCCTGTGCTGTGTGGTGTGTGTTTTTCAATGACAGTGAATAAAAGGTATGACTGTGCTCAGGGCTACTACTCTTCCATAAGCTGGGACAGGGCTGGGGTGAGTGGAAATGGGGAGAGCTCACCCAGTGGGAGTACCTCCGAACCTCCTTGGGGCTGAGATTCCTCTAGCAAGTACTCTGCTTACGTGGAACCCATGGGAGTGAGTTCAAAGAAGGGGTGAGCAGATTACAAGGGACCCAAAAGAGGGAAAATCAAGAAAGGCTGGGCCTCCCGAGTGCTGGAACTGGTGATGGGGCCTCTCCCTTCTTATCTCTGGGCCTCACGGGCTCTCATCCCCTTGGCGTATTTGCATCTGTGCTCTTTCCCTTGGTTTCTCTTCAGTCCTCCTTTGCTTCCCTGCACAAAGTGGCTGCTTCACCAGCTCTGTATCAGGACTCACCAGTGACTGACAACTCCCCTTCTCTTAGTTGCAGTTCTCAAGCAAAGGAATCTGATTGGCTCCACCTAGCTTTTGGTGGGAGCCCTTGGTCCATTCATCAGTGGCCAGACTGAGCGCTGATATGTGGGGCCTGTGGGCAGAGCAGTTCCCTCAGAAGGGAGTTAACAGCAGCAGATAGTGGGACCTAGATTCTCCCTCTGTCCAGCGGAAGGCATTGTAAGAGCTCAGGTGAGTGGGTGGTGGGCAGTGGGGAGAAAGGCTGAGAACCAGGATTACAATTAGTCCATATGATGCCTTTTGTACAGATTAGAAAAAGGCACCCCCTCTGAGTGGAAGCAGCCGCATAAGTATGCAGCTGGGCCAGTGGATGGCACCTTGGGCTAATTAGAACAATAGCCTTCTTCTGAACACACACAGCCTTGTCATGTCAGGGTGCACAGCATCGCAAGTGGAGCATAGCCTGGATTCCAGCCCCCACCTGCCCTGCTGGTCAGGGGTGTTGTGTAGTGCATAACCTGTTCCACCATCCCCAGGAGCCCAGCCCAGAGCCCTGAGACCCCCTACACTGACCCAAATACGGTAGGGGCGGGAATGGGAGTTGGGGGGAAGTGATCATCTCACAACACCCCCCAATAGCCCGAGAGGCACTGTTCCCTGCCAGGAGTTGGGGTTGGTGGCAGCTGGAGGTGCCTGCTTCCTCCTGAGACGCTCAATTGCTTTTACAAGGGTTTTCTCAAGGACGCTTGGCGGGGCCAGCTCTCCCGTGGCAGGAAGCAATTAGGCAAAGAAGGAGGCTGACCTGGCCTCAGGGCAACCGTGAACCTAGGGAGGTGATTCAGAAGCCTGAGAACTTGGGGCTGCTATTCCCGGATGAAGCCGCGTGGGGCGGGGAGCGGGGGGATGTCTTGTTCTCTGCCTGCCTTGAGACACACAGGTCCTGGGGCACCATCTCTAAAAACCCCCCACTCAGGCCCGTGCTATCTCTAGCCTGGGGTCAGTCCACCTCCTGCTTTCAGGCTTGCTCTCTGCACCATCCAAGAAATGAGAGCCATCTTCCTAAAGCGCCAATCTGACCACGTGGACTCTTCAAAGTCTCCCCTCTTCCCTCAGTGTGATAAGCTCTTTAAAAATCCCTCAAGGCCCTGTGTGATCTGCCACCTGCTGGCCTCAGAAGCCTGCTCTTCCCCCCTCTTCCCCCTCCTGCACCCTACACCTGAGCCACCTCGAATTGCGCCCCCTTTCCCTAGAGGGTGTCTTGGCTTTGTGTGCTTGTGCACAAACCGTTGCCCCTCCCTGGGCCACCCATTCCTCTGCCTCAATGACCTTCTCTGTGAAGCCTTCCCAAACCTCGTGTGTACACAGTCCATCATGGTTACCAAACTGCTTCCCACGGGATTCCCGTCAGCTGAGCCGAGTCCGTGTTTCAGTCTCCGTTTTTCAAAAAAGGACAAGGAAATGAAGGCTCAGAGATTGGTTAAGGCTGGGACTTGAACTCAGGTCTCCTCACATCAAGGCCACTGTTTACTGTGCTTTCTCATCCATGAGAGTGAATCCAAATCGGAATGTGAAAGAGGAGGTAACAAAACATGAGCTGTGGGCTTCAGAGGAGGAAGGGTCTTACCTTGAGTCGGGGCGGAGCAGGGGGAGGGGGACAGGCTGAGGGTGAAGGGAGGGAGAGATGGCTTCATGGAGGAGGTGGCATCTGCCCCTGGGTCTTGCTAAAGTCCAGGCGACAGGGCCAGGGCTGTGCGGGGGAGCAGTTCAGGTGCAGGGATCCTGGAGTTCCCTGGAAGGGGTTTGTTTCCAGCTTATCCATCTGAAGATGTGCTAAGCCCCAGGGAAAGAGCTGGCTGAAGTACAGGAATGCAGAGAGCCGGGGACTCCCTGCAGCCAGCCGTCAGGATGTGACAGGGAAGACAGAGGCAGTGGCCAGGAGCCTGAGAGGGTGGAAAGCACAGCCCAGGATCAAGTTCCCTAACCCTTCCAGAGAGGGCTCTAGGAAAAGGATGAACCAGGATTCTGGGCAGGATCCTTTGACGGCAAGCGACAGAGTCCTACTCATGTCAATGTGAGGAACGGGGATTAGTGGAGAATTTCGGTTGCAAGTGAACAAAACCCAACTCAAACAAGCTCAAGCAAAAGGAGGCTTATGGGCTCATGTAACTGGGAAGGTCAGGCACTGCTGAGTCCAAAGGCTCAGTGATGCGGCCTTTCTCTCTCGCTGCTCCTCTCTCTCTGTGACTCATTGTCCTCTCAAGATGGGCTTCTCCTGTGTTCCTTCATCTGCCACAGGGAAAGATGGGTTCCCAGCTGCCATTGTCTTAAATTAATAACCCCAGAGAAGAGAAAGCCAAATCTCCCAGAATCCCTATGTAAGAGTACTGAAGAGTGCTCCAGCTGGGGTCACGTGCTCATCCCCGGCCCAGTCAGTGTGTCCAGGGAAAAGGGTTCTACAGTTGGTCATGTCTGGGTCACATTCCTATTCCTGTGACCAGGGAGGCAGCGTCTATTACTAGGAGAAAAGGATGAGAAAAGTTGCTAGTCAAGCAAAACCAATAGCCACCAACTCTCTTGGGGGCATTTGTTGAAGTAATCTGGAAATTTCGAGGTGGGCACAATAGCTGGGCCTCAACTCGGACCTGGGAGACTGTCAGGATCAGAGGCAGCTCCCTCTCAGGCAGCATCGTTTCTCTTTCCTGGGGTCTCTGCTGCCCTCTGCACGTCTTCTCCCATCTTTATCTGCCGATCGACTCAGTCGGCTCACAGAGTTTCTGCCCTCTTTTAGCTTTCTCTTGCACATAATTGCAACTTGCTAAGGTTCATCCGAGTCTCTTAGAAGCCAATTATATTCCATAGCATCCTCAGCATCTATTCCATTGGTTGACTGTCCAGCACCTGTTTCCCAATGCCAAATTCCTGAGAAAGAGAAATTTGATTGGCCCAGATCATCTTTTCAACCCAGACCACACAGGTCAAAGGTCACTGGACAGCATGGGGAAGGTTCACCTTTGCATCAGGTGCTCACCCTCATCCAAAGAGCCACTCTATACGTTCTTCCTAAAGGACCTCCTCCTCATGAGGCACTGGAGAATAACTGACCCCTTCCTAGAGTTGCATTATCTATTGTTGCATAACAGGACACTCCAAAACTTAGTGCTTAAAACAACAACGATTTATTATTTTTCATGATTCTGTGGGTTGGCTGAGCTCAGCTGGGAGGTTTATTGCTTTGTGTGCTGTTGGCTGGGGTCACTCAACAGCTGCTGTCCCACCGGGGTGAGGCTAAAACAGCCAAGATGGCCTCACCTATATGACTGGCAATTGGTAGTGACAGTTACCTGGGAAACCACTCTTCTCCAGTGCCTTCTTATCTTCCAGGGACTCTGTGCCTCACCATCTGGCCTTTCCGGCAGGACAGTCCAGACTTCTTTACATAGAACCTGGCTCCCAAGAGGGCAAAATGGAATCTGCAAGGCCTCTTAAGGCTTAAGCTTGGAAACCGCATAGCATCACTTCTGCTGCATTCTATTAGTGAAAGCAAGTCAAAGCAAGGCACTGTGTCGACTCAGATTCCGCTCCACTTCTGGCTGGGAGGAGTGTCAAAGTCACATTGCCAAAAGGCAGGCAGGATGGGAGAGAGTTTGAGGCCCTCTGTGGAAACAATCTACTAAGCCTGGAGAAGGGCGAGTCTAAACAAACATTCCCCAATCCTAAAACTTTTTATTATTATTGTTATTTCCCCTTCCCCCCACACAAAGTTTGTTGGGTTCCTCCCAGGACGTGGGGAAGGCTGGGGAGATCCCACCATTCTGTACTCCCTCCCAGTCAGATGCCTTCCAGGCTAAGCCAGTATTTTCTTCTGCTGCTCCCACTCACCTGTCCATACTTCTAGGCTCACAAAGAGATGCCCCTTGTCTGCTTCCTGGCCTGTACCTGGGATGGGTGGCATTAGTGTCTGCACCGCAGGATCTGCACCAAAGGAGACAATGCCTGGAACTCCAGGACCGTGGTCCAAGATTCTTTGGTTGCAAGTTTCCTTTTCTCCCCTCCCTGCATGTCTCTTCATGGCATGTAACTAACCACCCCAAGCTCGGCAGGTGGCACCTGGGAGTGAGCGCTCCCTGCTGGTCATCAAGGGGCCAGCAAGAATCCGGGTTGAGCGTCCCTGGGAGGCTCTCCGGTCTGGATCACCCGCCAGGCGGAGAGGAGCCTGGTCTCACCACAGCCTTCACCAGTCCCTTCGCCTTAGTGGGGAAGAGCTGTCCGCTGTGCGCCCGGCTAGGAGCAGGCTCCTGCTCATGGACACAGTTGTCCACCCACCACCTCCTCCCTGTCCACGGAATGGACTAGGGTCTAGAGAAGGGGATGCCGCTCAGGGTCCCAGGGTTCTGGTATCAGAGCGGAAAGAGGGGGGCTAGCTCTTTTTTGGGGGCAGAGGGGGTTAACTTTTATTTTCTCCTTTGGGAATCACCATCCTGGGGGAAAAGAGTTGTCAAGTCTCCCCTCTCTTGGTGCCTGCGAGAGCCTGCGAAGATCATGATCCCCGCAATCCTGTATCCCCAACAGCCCCAAGCCCCGCTTCAGGCCCCCTCCTCCTAGAGCCAATCCCCCATTCAC